CTTGAACATGTAAAATAATCTGGTAGACAATGTGTTTATCTAAACAGGGCTATTGAAAGAACTGTTAAACTGAGCGATCGCTAATTGTAAAGCGGTTTATGAATAATACATATTTTATATTTATAACGTTTTGTTTTGAATTGTCGTTGCTTGCCGTATGGTTACTGAGTCGAGATTGGTCCATGGAAACTTCACCGACAACAGCAACTTCCTTCACAGAAGGCTTACTAAGGTAATTCATTTATATTATCTTTGTTAATAGGACAGGCTGTAATTGATTTTATTTGTAAAGATCAGTTCAGCATCGTTATATTGCCATCATTATGATAGGAACCAGGTTTAATGTTAGCAGGAATACATTTCCATTCAATCATTTATTGTTACATGATGCCTGCAACAAGAATAATTATCTTTCCTCATTTCTAAATGAAAATGGCAATTGCATCGATAGCCATGTGAACAAATAAATATCCAATACACAGCTTATTTATTATGTAGCATGTATGTATACCTTGTGGATTGTAAACAAATATGTTAGCTGATCGGAAATTACATTTTACAGAACGTAGATCTGAAAAAATGATATCCGTTTTAATGATTGCGATCAGAATTCATTGATGTTATGAAATGGATACAAACATTTTGATTATAAGTAAAAGAAATCAAATCAGGTACATGTATTTCTCTACTCGCAATGGAAATGGTTATTAACTATGATGTGAGAGATCCCGAGTTAACAGGCACCATTCAACCATTTAAAAAACCCTATAAACTCACAATGTAAAACCCAATACATTCGTACAAAGGCGATATTGATCTATGCTGCGTCGGCACTTTAGTGGTAATGCTGTCTGAATATATATATATATATTCATATACAATATTTAATAGTTCACCTGTACTCAGAATTAAGCAAACAGTATAATGAATTCCAGTCTCTTTTCCATTTCAAATTTATTCAAACTCGGAGAGCAATAACAAACGTATTGGAGATAGTGATTCCAACTGGATTACCAAATAAATCTAAAGGATATGCAGTCAAACCGCCCGTCGAACCGTTTTATTGGTCTGCCATCGAAAAGTGAATCCGCGCTGTTCTTGGGAACACTTCCGGTGGAAATGTATAGTCATCTTACGTGCTCGAGAGAAGTCGGTATTGGAGCATTATGCAGATGAATAAGCCATCTTACTGAGAACAAACCACGGAGAATAAAAGTACTTTTTGTGTTGAATGTGTATAATACAATTGTAATATAGCATTACTTATATATTACGGCATTTGTTATGTAAGACGAATCATTTCGATAAAGGGAATTCCGGTATATCATATGAAATATATGCTAATTCCTTTGGCTACTTTACCTATGCAGATTAGTGATTATTTGCATCCTACCGGTGATTTAGTATAAGATGAATATCATCACCGACATCTAAAGCCTCCTCTAACGTACCAGCAAAATAAATACATCTATAGTGTCTGGGACATTTCAGCTACTCATTATAAAAGCACCAAATATAGGTTACAGGGCAAGATTTCCATGATGATAAATCGTAAAATGGCAACAAATGTACCCTATTAATGCTGTTGCCTAATTGTTTATTTTGAATCTTACGGATATTTCAACTTAAACATTTCATTCAAGAACGTGCCCCATACTGGTGTTTTTATCTGGTTTCAGGCAAATTTGTTGGCCTGTAGAAAGGTGTTGTATATTTTATTAGGTGACCTTGGTATATTTTGCAACGTTATATTTCCTTTTAGCTCCTCGTTTATATATTCGCCTTCATTTTATGTCACAGTTTATGCTTTGCGAATTGTGGACCAAACACTAGTAAGCTAATCATTGAAGAGGTTTAGAATAAAGAACCTCTGACAGATCGACTACATAACATTATTTACCTTAGACAACATAATCCAGAGGCATCTCGGCGCCAACCATTGTTTGATTTCCCTTATTTTGTTTGAAGTTTGGATATTTCCCAAGGTGGGAGACTTACATGAAACAATTAATAACAAGGAAACTACCAAACTATTCTTGGGCTACCGGTGAGCTTATGCCATGATGAAGCATCCGAACGTGAACATATCTTTTAAAAAAACTACCATTCGAAAATAACTTAGCAGATTTTAGTAAAATTTGGTCAAAAATATCTTTCGGGAATGGAAACTAATTTTCTTTCAGTGATGTTCAGTGGGTTCCCTGTTACCTTGGGGGCGGAGTCCAAACTACGAAATTTAGCAAATTATTTAAAATCCCTTAACTGTAGTAATGATGGTGAATTTTGTAGTAGTGATGTGGAATTGTTAACAGACGTGATCTGAAGCATACATGAACAGTGGGTAATACGTCTGATTCCCAGGAGGCAGTGATGCGGGGCCCAATACAGGAGATAGGAAGAATCGCTTTAAATCTGTTTTGTTTTGGCACGGGTATTTTGACCAAGGGTGGTGAGATACATCCTCTAGAGAAGGGGATTGATTTTATATGTACATTAGGGTCTAGTCCCTTATTTCTACTTGAAAGAAAATATTTTGGCGTCTTTTCTGTCAATGTGAAAGCAACTTTCTCACGTATTTGAGAATTTCAAAAGTTCAACCTAATGCCATAAATGTATGATTCCTGTCATTTCAAAATACAAAACATTTCTCCTAACACTCCTTCCGAACAAAAAATAAATAAATAAAATCGTGTATATATGACAAAAAGTAGCAGCAGTTTGAACTTTTTCTGGATGCGAAATAAAAAAAAGTAAAAATAGAATGTATTGAATATGGAACTTAACAAGTACTACAGCTGGTTTGTTTTAGATCACCATTATACTTATGTTTAGAATACTTGATCAATGGAAGCAGCTCTATTCCTTTCAATAACTGTTAAAGACTTCTACATAGATATACAGTAGAGGATATATTTCAAAACCTGATTTACGTCGTAACTGGATCTATCAAAACTACGCAATAGTCGTATTTGTAAATCTCCTTCCATCTTGATATTGTAATTTCTTTCGATCATTTTGGATTTTCATTATGCGCCGCCGATGTTTCAAAACAAGTCCCTGAGCATTACTGGTCCTAGAAAGCCGAAGTTAACTTCATTATTTGGCAGTACCATATCTAAATCCTGGTTTATATTGCTTATCTTATTTGTATAACCTTCCAACCGTCTTTCATATGTATGTTTAACTAAATTTTACAGGCAATTTATTATCAAATATTTGTTGTTTCATAATAAGTCATATACGTTGCTTTTGATATTATTTACCAGAAATCGCACCTAATGGGGACATGTTGTTAGATAGATAGTTATTGATATATGTTTTAATCATTTTCATGCTGTTTTCTGTTTGTAGTTGCAACGGTAAAGATAAATGGTGAAAGTGACGACAGAATGAAAACCGATACAACCAAGATCATGCAGCATTCAAAGGTGAACGAACGAACATGTACGAGCCATCCGGAGCGTATTGTCATGATGGAGTGTACCACCTGTGGAGGCGTGTCAGTTTGTCTCACGTGTATTAGCACGTCACATAAAGGCCATATGTTTCTAGAGATAGATGGTGTGGCGGACGGAGCCTCATGGACAATGCTGTTAAAGAATGCACGGGGGAAACTTTCGGCTATTACAAAGAGGTGAATATATACATACAAAATGTCCAAGGTTCGCCCACCTTACACTAAAACTGGCTGATAGATATTTCTTGCAAACATATAAAGCATTTGAGAGAAAAAAGAAACAAGAGCTTTATGTTGTAAATATAAAGTATTTTCTTTCGTAGGACGAAAAGAAATAGAGCAAATGTTAGCCAGGTAAAATCCATAGGTCAATATTATCATTATTATATGTTGTACACACAGGTAGTTCGCACACTTGTGGTAGTCATTGATTGCAAGAAACTACCACCTACTTGTATTCATAACAAAATCTTTTGAAGTCGATCGGCCGTTACAGTAGATTCATATGAAGCACAAAATATTTTGAGGGTTTATCATCCAAAGCCATATTTTAACTTTTTAAAAAAGGTACGTTTCAACATCTCTTATACCATAGAAAATGTTTTTGTTCATGAAAACTTTAGGACTCGGGACTGTGACATGATAGTTTATTGAAGCTTCCTATTTATTATAACGTCACAGAAACATATTATATCAAATCAAATACTACATTTAACTAATTAATTCTGATATAAATGAGACAACTGTTTCCTTTATTTTTTTTATATTTCGATTAACGATCATACATTTTCTTATCGTGTTTGGGATCGATTTGACAAAAGCGACAACCCTTTGTCATTTCGGCCTATTTTCTTTCAAATGCTTGAGCAAGTTATTATTGTAAAACAACTAAGGCTTCATACACAACGTGATTACTTTTTCTTCTAAATGTTACACTAACGTTATAAGTATACTTCTATCAAACATGTTCTTCTGTGTTTTGTTTTTCACTTTGTTGCGCCTTTTGACAACCATTCACGTTGCTATGGCAAGGACGTTCGAACCCTTTGAATGATTCGAAAAAGGCACAGTCAGGTTCAAATATCTCCCGCTAAGGGTTTTACCTGTATTTTCATATACCTAAGTTTAATTGATGTTAACTGAATAAACAAACAAAAAAGGGGTCAATAATTGAGATTGTTTCATTATGGTTTCTATTACCATGTTGACAGAATAATAAATTACAAATATCAATAGGTTATAATATTATTGAACAGTTCCCTGTTTGTAATATTTTTGAAGCATATGATATAACTTGACACAAGGTGAATATAAGACTTGTTTGTTCCTTTTTTTTAGAATCGACCAGATCAAGGAACTGAAAAAGCAAAACGAAAAATTAGCGGTCCTCGCCATAAGTGACATTCATCGCCAGGGGGAGGTAATGAAGCGAGAGATAGACGAGACATGTGAACACTTTGTCATCCAATGTAAATCCATTAGGACAACGAACCAGACACTTCTCCAGGAGTCTGAGGACAAACTGCAGGAGTCTATGTCCGATATGAAAGCAACGATTACTAAATCAAAAACGCTATTTTCTTCCGGGATGAAAACAGGATCAAAGCAACTTAAGAACAGGCTTCAGCTGGAAATCGATCGGCCATTTGACAGACTTCCCGACCTCCAGACCCAAAGTTTCTGTCCAACTCAGCAATCTGGCGAGTCAATGACTGCGGGTCGTTCCATAGGATCAATCCAATCCAAGACGTGGGTATTAGAAAATTCGTCAACATCAGAGAGTACTAACCATTTCCTAGGCAATACGACACAGAAATCGCGTGCAAAGGAACTCTACAATGTTAAGGTCGTGGCTACATTCCGGTTCGCTGTTGACCGCGAAATAGAATCTGTTTTTCCCGGGTTTGACGGGCGATCTTGGCTGGTTTGTGCTGGCAGCACCGAGGCACGACTGGTTGACCATGCAGGGGATTTCGACTCGAGACGGTCCATTATTTTGGATAAGTATATTTACATAAATGATCTGGTCACCACTTTGGATAAGACGCGGACTCTGGTATGCTGTTCGGACCAGTCAATCCGCCAAGTCCACCATGGCAATGGTCATTGTGACGTGATGTTTCGGACACGTCATTACGCCACGAGCTTATGCGAGTCCCGTGATGCTGGCTGTATACTCATATCACATTATCACGAAGGCATGCTTATCAAATACAACAAAAACGGCCGGGCACTTCGCACGATTAACCATGACTGTGAAGGCAAGCGTTTGTTCCACTCGCCTACAAGCGTCAGAGTGAACACGACCAATGGAGACTTTGCCGTGATAGAGAGCTCCTGTCCACGTCATGTTGTCGTTATAGATAGGAAATTGCAAGTGCTATGTCGATTTGGCGGATACGAGATGCAGGCTTCAGCTGCTGAAAAACAAACAGCAGGTGGATCGTTTGTACCGAGCGACATCTGCTTCGACAAACATGACAATATCTTGATAGCGGACTCTGGTAACAAGACGGTGATACTGGTTGACAGACATGGAACGAGTACTCATATAATGACAACGTGTGCGCTGGAACCCCGCCGTTTGGGCGTGGAACCAACTGGCCACGTGTGGACAGGATATCAGGACGGGACTGTCAAAATCATCAAGTACAAAATACCAAAACGATCTGAAAAGGACACACAACAAGCTGAATAAATTTTGAAATCCATTCATGTCATTAAAAAACACAAAATAAAATATTAAATTATATTTTTACTGTGTTGGGAAACATCAGTAGACAATTGAGCTTCGTTTGAAATTAAACCGGATAAAACCAAGATATAAATACTGCCTAGAACTTTGAACGGTAAATATTTGCTTAATGTTCTGTGTTTTCATATTGTTTTTTCCGTACGGGACCGCATCTTACTGCAATCGAATACATATACGACATTGTGTTGAATTTATACTGTGCATACTTGTGTATTAAACAAATATTTCTTTCGTGATTGCTTTTGTGGTGTTATTCGTGGTCCGACAACCAGATATATATTTATGTCAACAATATGACTAGGAAAGTGACAAATGTTGCAATACGCAGAAGTAGCGAACGTATGATGTGAAAATGTTTTAGGTAGCCAACCTATGGTTTTATCTAGTGAAAATGTTTTAGATGCTGCATCTGTCGCATTTTTGACCTTTAACGTGGGTTTAAATGCAGTTAATTTTTCGTAAGTTTAAAACATCTGCCAGCTCAAGGATGACAATTACTCATCTACGACTGATAAATCAATTTGGTCTCAGTGATATTAAATATGCATTGTAAAATTTGTCAGTCTTTATCTTAGGGCCATACCATTAAATTATAGTGATTAAGAGCATGTTATTAACCAATTAACTGGCCGAGTGGTTATTGCACGTTTTGTCTTACTCCTTTGACTTCAAAAGGTTTTGACCTTCAATTTTCATAATGCCATATTTCAATCTTAAATGATGCAATTTTCATTTAGTCCGTCTCTCGGCACAAAGACAACCGCTTAAGCTTGTCCCGTCTTCCTTGTCTCAGTCTCGTGAATATGCATATTTTGAAAGTGAAACGAGGTCAAGTGCCATGTAACGTCGAAATGTTACTTCGGCAATAGTGATACTAAGGATACTAATAAGACACTTCTACACAGAGTATGCTTATGATGAAACTGTTTATATAACCTTTCTATATAGTTATTGCTTACGTAATGATGTATGTAGCTATATATAGTATCGTGCACAACGCTGTCCGAGATGATTCGTCAGTATCAGTAGTTCTATTCAGATCAGGATGTGATTTAATGTAACGAAAACCATGGCCAAAACTTTTAATTATAGGTCAAATAATTTCTTATCGTACATTTTGGAGGTCTTTATCCCAGTAAAATATGCCATATCATCATTATAATGATATTTTAAGTAGTCCATCAACATTTAAGGCATCATGCATCACTGACGAGTCACATAAGAACGAAAGGACTTGATGATGTAATATAATTCATGGTTTGGGTTTACTCTACCTGACTAAATTTTGTGTTCAATGGTGCTATTCACTGTTGTCATTTATACTTATCATAGAACAGATAACCAGTGTTGAGCAATGGTTGACAAAGGTTCAAAATCAAAATGTCGATCGAAAAATGTATAGGACAACATTAATACATAGTAGCCAGGTAAAATCTTATCTTATTGCCTAAACATGGAATTCCCATGGATGCTTCAAGAAGTTCGAACATTATTTATAGAGACAAATTGGTATACTACCTAGCTACACAATCACAGTTTGTAAGTTGGTTTCTTATTTCTTTTGTAGTGTTATGGCATATAGTTAGATAGGCAGTAACCCTATAAATGTGACTGTGTGGATTGGCATGCATCTTTGTTTATTTTGGTAAACCATTTAGTGATGACACATTTAAGGAATGAGATTGTGCCATTATCTCTCGACATGTTCTTCTTACACACACTACTGTTGTTTGCCCGCCCGATAAAACCCGATATCATTCACGGACAAATCTTTTCCCATGTAATGTAAATATTTTTTAAACCTGTACGGTGTTGATAACATTACGACCGTTCATGTTCGAGCAGATATTTGAGAACGCAATCCACTATTTTTTAAGTAAACGTTGGTTTAACGGCAGAGTAAAGATACAGAGACAAAAGTGAATGTTTAAATCCATCATGGTATCGATTCGAAATAAGTTCCACCTATTTAAGCCATGAACTTAATGTGTGTACGTTTTGAAAAAGTGCCTTAGCACACATTCGATTAAATACTGAAAACGAAACAGTTTTCTTTCTAAAGTGGGCGTTATAAAAACACATGAACTGTTTCTTTAAGATTATGTTACAAATAAAAGGCGTATTAACTTCAATTTTTTATCAGTTGTTTTCATGACTGAGCGGCCATTATTTGGATCTCCAAATATAATTTGGAGATCCAAGTAGATCTTTGAACATGCAGTCAGTAGCATGATTGATTTTATACGGTATCAAGTGATGACGTAAATCATGTTACAAATTTTCGGTTAGTATCATCCTATAAAATTGTACTTGATACATGTATTAAAACGCATATCTATACCAAATATGATGTAAAAAGTATATTGTGAACATAACATAAATTTTCATCAGAGAAATGTTAAGGCACGTGTTGAATGTTCGTGTGATGGTGCTATAGTTTTGCCGCAAACTTGTATATAGTGCCGAAGGACTACGACAGGACACCGCATTTGTCACATCATACTGACAACAGGTGAACCAGTTGTCACCCGACCTTAAGTGCTGCACGTTAAGCAGGAAGTAGTAACTGCCATTTTTAAAGAATCTGGTCGATGCGCAAGTCATTTGATATTCTTTTTGGGCATTATAGAACTAACATTATGCAGAAGAGGAAGACCACACACTGAAAGTCAGTTTCAGTCAACCTGGTCATCAGTTTGCTAGCATGAACACAACATGCTATACATCTGTTTTGTGTGTCAAAGACATAGAACAAGCAAGGGATGGAGCGAAACGATTTTCGATCCTTAGGTTGGTTAATGCTTCATGTCATATCCAAGCTCGTATTCGCAGATGTGGTAACGCATGCAACCTGCTTTTAATGGTTTAAGCGATTTCTTATTGAAAACTTTAACAGACGTTATTCTAGCCTTTGTTATGATTCTGACAAATATGACCAAAATGACATAGAATATGTGTCTAGCTCATCTCGTTCTAGACCATGTTGCGCTTCATCTCGGCAGTCGTCCAGACAAATATTATTTTTGGACGTTTTGCTCTTAAGAGGACGTTCTTGGAACGCGAAGATAAATTTGAACCCTGTGATATTGCATATGGGTAAAACAATTTCTCTTTGTATACTTTACCAGACTTTATCGTAAGAATCTACCAGTCAAATATCATAACTTGAGGAATTAATGTTCGAGCAAAGGAGGAGTGCCAATTTGGGCCTTCTGGCGGCCATGACCGATATTTTTTATTTCTTGTGTAGGAATTCCTTGGGGTTAGGCGGTCATGATATGACATAAAATTAAGGTCAGATCTGAGCCATTCATTAGTTATGGGGGGGGGGTAAAGTGGGGGGGGTAAAATTCATAAACAGCTCCATTATGACAAACCTACATTATATTTTTGGATTTTTTCTTCTTAATTTTCATGTAATAATCCATATCAAAACATTCATTAGTAAAATTGATTGAAAAAAATATTCCATTGTTGAAAAGTAGGTCATGGTAATTAAGCTCATTAATTGCTAATTATATTAAAGATGAACTTAATTTTCTGCCTTAATGCACATAAAAACAATACCTTTATCATGTGTCATGCTTTAGTAAGATTTATTTTTGAATACTTTATAGAAAATGGAGAATTAATTAATGGGAGGGGGCGGGTTCACACTTTTGACAACTTTTGGTTGATATCAGAGTTGTCTTATGTAATTATATTAGATAATAAATATCTAATAAATAAATGTTAAATTGTACTGCATTAAGAACTGTTTAAAATAAATTGCTTGATAAATGTAGAGATATTTAAACCAGTTTGGTACGGCTGGTTGAGCTTTAAGCTAAAATGGCGGGATATAATGCCATCCCCTGACATATACCTTGTTAAGGATCTTTGTGTCTACCGGTGAGTATACATGTGCACCTTGTCTCAGACAGTTCATATACCCTTATATATACAATTAATACGTGGCAACTACACGTCACAACCTCAGCGATTTTAGTATACTTTCTTGGTTTGACTGTCACCGATATTGTACATATAATTTAGACATATAATTGTAATTCAACTGTTGTTCATAACTTTGTTCATCCAAATTAAGGTTTTAATAAGGAGTGTTTTCTAAGTTTATGCCCTGTTTTCTTTTCTTTTATCAATATGCCAGTGCACAGGCAGTGCGCTTGTTGTAAAGCACAATATAAAGTAAGGCTCTGTTGTCTGAATAAAACAGACATTCTGTCTTACTTGAAAGCAAATATTAATGATGCCTTAAGGTTTGGTGACCCCGTATGTAAAAAATGCAGGGGAAGATACTACAATCACCATTCATCTACTGAACATCCTAGTAGCGATGTAGAGCACCAGCTTGAGTCACCTGAAAACAAAAAAATCAAACTTGACATTCCACGGGCTACATTAAGTGAATCTCGATGTTTCATTTGTAAAATGTTAAGAGAGGAATGTAAAAGTAAAATGGTAATGCTCTCAACAGAAATGTGAGTAAAGATTTTTATTAAGACAGGTATCCTTGTCCCAAACACCTGCAGATGTTGTTCTTCCCACATAGTGAATGGTGATTTCCCATCTGATAATCTATCTTCACTCGCATATTCCAGCAAAGACACTGAACTGGATTCTTCTGAAATATCAGAGATCCTTTTGACACTTAGGGCAGCTGCTTCAAAGAAAAGTTGTTTAGACTTTGATTCCTCAGATGGATTAACTGATCAAGATTACTACCGTCTCACAGGTCTGTATAAAAATCAATTTTCTGACCTTTTACGATCAGTTAATCCCTCTCTTTACTCTACACTGAACAGAAGCGCAAGGACTGCATTAGCCATCCTGCTTGTAAAGTTGAGGACTGGCATGTCTTTATCAATATTAGCTTCTCTGTTCAACATGACAAAGAGAATATGTGGAAAATGTATTCATTCAGCTCGCCAAGCATTGATGAC